GGTAGGAGGGGTGTTAGTAGACAGACTCTGGTGGAGGAAATTTGGGGAAACAGCAGTAGGGGCTATCTGAGGGGGATCCTCCAAGATAGGATGGTCTGTGTCGTATAAATTAGTTGCTGACTGTAGATTGGTACCTGCAGCTATTATACACAATATGGAAAATTAAAATGTGATGAAAAAATACACAAATCGTTGAACAATGAATATACTATTAAATCGAAAGGTACACACACATATGTGGGTGACATTTTAAAACCTTTAAATTCCGAATATGGAAAAGTTGCTCCTGGTTGGGGGACTRCTGTTTTAATAGGGATTTTTATCATGGCAACCGCCCGGACGTCCGGATCGGGTTCCAGACAGTCCGGTGTCCGGTGTCCGGTCCCCATGTCCAGATGGAGGTCCCTCGGGAAAGAAAACAAAAAAAAAAATGGGGCGGCCCAGGACGTTTGTCGCCTCCTAGCCGCCCCTCGAAAAATAACGGGGTGATTTTTAAGTGTCCTTTCACCCCACCGGACATGGCCTAGAGGTCCAGACACAAGACACTCAGGTTTTGAGGTGGCAGGTTTCGCACAGGCCCGAGCAATTTCAAAGCGGCCGTTTCGACGTGGCGCCCACCGCTGCTGCCCGTTGTGGGGAGGGGAAGAGAGAGAGAGAGAGAGAGAGAGAGAGAGAGAGAGAGAGAGAGAGAAAGAGAGAGAGAGAGAGAGAGAGAGAGAGGGAGGGAGAGAGAGAGAGAGAGGGAGGGAGAGGGAGAGAGAAAGAGAGAGAGAGAGCACTGACAGTGCTGCCAGTCTGAAGACTCTGCCGTTCTGAATTGAACTGCAAAGTTTGAACTTTTAAGTTACATATGAAGTTTTACTAAATCCAAAGTTCAAAGTCCAAAGTTAATCATACTTTTTTCAAAAAAAAATTCTCTGTTTCTTCAGTCTTGTGCCTGCTTTGCACTGTTTGCAACTCTGCATGTCTGCTAGTTAAATGTGCTGGTTGATTTGCTGCAAGACACGTGCTCTGCTGCCTGAACCACAGAGTGCAAAGCAGGTAAGTGCCTGCCAACACCCCCACCCAACATCCCCCCCACCCCGTGGTCTGGACATTTTTGCACCCCGAGGACCGGTCTGGACTGTCCGGTGTCCGGTGATGTCCGGATCACCAGACAGTCCGGACCGGTCCAGACACTGGTCCGGAAGACAGTCCGGAAGTGTCCGGTGTCCGGATCTGGGGTTACCATGATTTTTATGGCTCTTTTTGGAGTATTTTTTGTTGGGTCCAGAAACCAACCTCTACAACACCCTGGACTTTATGAAGGGGGGGAAAAAAGCGAAACAAGGGCATAAAAAAAATCAGGCTAACATTTGGGTTGGGGGGAGAGGGAGGAGGGAAAGAAGAAAAGGACACAAAAAAACCACTAAGGCTACCGTCTTCACCCAAAAATTGCGCCCGGGCGTTGTATACGAATATAGCGCCTGGTGGGCGTTATATTCGTTTGTAACGCCTGGGCGTTATATTCATTTATAATGCCCAGGCGTTATATTCAGTAAATTGTGGAAATTTCGGTGGGGCACCACAACATATGTCTTCTAGAATTCCAATGCCACCAACTTTTGGCCGAGGGTCACCACAGAATTCCTTACAAATTCGGAAATGAAAAAAGAGGAAAAAAAACAACCCAAAACATACCCCTTGGAAGTTGGAAGTCGAAACCCCTTTCATCCCCAAATGCCCCTTCCCCCCTTTAAAACCCATGTAATCTCCCTCTACAAGGCACTCTGCCCACAGAACATTCAAACATAACGCCCGGGCATTCTATTCGAATATAACACCCGGGCATTATATGCACTCCGCCCACGGAACATTCAAATATAACGCCGGGCGTTCTATTCGAAGATAACACCCGGGCATTATATTCAAAGGCGCGTTCTACTAAAAAAAAAGTGAGTGAAAACAAAAATCTGACTTTTTTAGGGTAAGTTGAACATAACGCCCGGCGTTGGCCTGTACACTATAGCAAATAGTAGTAGGCAAGAGACAGAAATAGCCTCGTCAGGTGCATCTCATGCACCTGCTCATCATACACCCGCAAGCTGAGCCACCTACCGTCTTCACCCGAAAATAACGCCCGGGCATTGTGTACGAATATAAGGCCCGCCGGGCGTTATATTCGTTTATAACGCCCGGGCGTTATATCCTGTAAATTTGTGGTAACTTTGGTGAGACCCCAAAATTCCGAAAAAAAAAAATCAAAAAATTATGTAAAAAAAAAATGTTGTCCAGGATTGCAATGCGACCAACTTTTGGCTGAGGGTCACTTCAGAATTCCCTATAAACTCGGGAAAAAAAATAAAAACAAAAAATCATGCCGAAATACACCCCTCGGAAGTCAAGACCCCATTCAACCCTCTTCAAGACCCATGTATACCCCTTTCCCCGCCCTTTAAAACCCATGTATACTACCTCTTCAAGGCACTCCGGCCATGGAACATTCAAATATAACGCCCGGGCGTTCTATTCGAAGGGCGTTGTATTTGAAAAAAAAGTGACTAAAAACGAAAATCTCACCTTTTTTGGGAAAGTTGAATATAACGCCCGGGCGTTATTTTTGGGTGAAGACGGTAGTTTTCTTGCTCACCAACCTAAACTGGGGCAAGGAAATCGAGTTTTCCCCAATATTATTACTTGAGACTTGATTTTCACCTTCCTTTTGACATTCTTGCAGTGATTGCCATCGTCGGGAGTCCATGCCTGATCGATAGGGCAGTTTTCACCATTCTACTTGCAGTGCTGCCACTGGGCAGGTAGTCTGGTAGTTTAGTAGCTTCCTACGGTCAGCTACATTGCAAACACAAGTGTTACAAGGCTTGGTGGCACGTTTTGCCAAACTATTACAAGCCAGTTTGTTGATTAATTCTTGTTATTTCGAAGTCAAGGAAGAGGGTACACAATTTCCCACGTCAGCTTATACTGGAAAGATCCAGGCGCCGCTATAGCTGCCAAATATTATTGAGAGACTCTATCATTTTGCTCCAATGCTACCAGGACATCCAGACCTCGAACCTCCAGCCAGGATGTCCGCGAAAAGGGCCGTCCATGATTCCACAAGTCCGAAAAATCCTTCTCCTAAACATCAGATTTTCCATCCAATCGGCGATCCCAGGTCCGCAACACCAGAGCACCCAAAGGATTTGAAAAACAAAAATCCATCTGTCAGGTAAGGTATGACCTAATGATCTGATCATTTGGTCAGAACAGATCTCTCTCTCTCTCTCTCTCTCTCTCTCTCTCTCTCTCTCTCTCTCTCTCTCTCTCTCTCTC